GGCCCGCCTACCCCTCCCCCCTTCCCCTTTTCCTTGCAGCAGCAGCAGCAACAACAACAACAACAGCAACAAAAACAATAAGAGATACTTACCTAAGTGCAGATTGTGCACCAGGTCCTGGTGTTTTGCTCTTAGTTCCTCCTGTAGCCCTAACCCTAACATGTACAGCATTAATACCTAATTCCTTACATCTAGCAGCAACATCAGCAGCAGCCATCATAGCAGCATAAGGAGAAGATTCATCTCTATCTGCTTTTACCTTCATACCTCCAGTTATACGTACAAGTGTCTCACGTCCTGATAGATCAGTAACATGTATAAATGTATCATTAAAACTTGCATATATATGTGCAACACCAAATACTAATTCATCATCACGTGTATGAGGTACACCTAGTGTTGCTGCTGCTGCTGCTGCTGCTGTTGTTGTTGTTGTTGTTGCTGCTGCTGTTGTTGTTGTTGTTGCTGTTGCTGGTGTTGTTGTTGTTGCTCCTCCTCCTCCTGCAGCAGAACTTGACGAAGAAGAATCTCCTGATTCACCCTTCTTTGTTGCCATCTTGATAAAAAGAGAAATAAATACTATTTGTGGTCTTTTTTTTAATGCTGCTGTTGCTGCTGCTGTTGCTGCTGCTGCTGCTGCTGCACTTGGTGTTGCGCTGCAGCGGGGAGGAATATGATACACGTATATATATATGTATGTACACCCGAGGGCAGCAGCTAATCTATTTATACACCGTAAATATATATACCCTACCCTGCAGCAAATATACTCCTTGCATCCCTTTGCTCATCAGGATACGCTCCTGAGAGCAGCAGCTGCAGCCGCAGCAGCAGCAGCAGCTGCAGCAGCAGCCCCCCCACAGCAGCCCAGCCCTACACGGACTCTACTGCTGCTGCTACTACCTGCCTACCTGTGCATATACATACATACTACATGCACTTTGCTGCTGCTGCTGCTGCTTCCTGTATCAATATATACAGCAATAAATAAATAAATTAATTAATTAATTAAATATTTTTTTATTTATTTTTATTATAAAAGATGAACAACAAAGAAAGAACATATAGACACCTTATGCTGCAGAAAGGCTACTGCTGCCGCTGCTGCTGCTGCTGCTGCTGCTGCAGCCGCTGCTGCTGCTCCTAGTACCTAGTACTACTACTACAGCAGCAGCAACAGCAGCAGCAGCTACAGCAGCAGCAACTCCCGCTGCTGCTGCTCCATGAATCGCTAGTTGTATGAGTGCTCATAATACTGCAGCAGATCAATGCAGCAGAAATTATTAATGACAATTATACACACATGCTTAGTAATTAAACAGGGGATTTGCTGCTGCAGCAACAGCAACAGCAGCAGCAACAGGAACAACTAGAGAGCTTGTTGAGTCTCTTCTCTCTACTCCTGCAGCAGCAGCTGCTGCTGCTGCTGCAGATAATATTCTTATATAAAAAAAACAGGAAGGCATTTATCTTCTATTAAGAAAACAAAAGACTTCTTATAGAAGACAGAGGCAACAAAGCCATCAACCTGTAGCTATCCCAGCTGTCTGCTGCTGCTGCTGCTGTTGCTGTTGCTGCTGCTGCTGTTGCTGCTGCTGCTGTTGCTCATAGAAACACTGCAACTATACACATTGACCTTAAAATAACAACGCGAACAGATCCAGCATCGTTAAGCCCATCTGCTGCAGCAACAACAGACGCAACTCGTGCTGCTGCAGCAGCAGCAGCAGCATCTAAGATAAGGAGGCCCCAGCAGCAGAAGATACACCAATGGCAACAGCAGCAGATCCACAACTAACATATACAGCAGCAGCACAAGACAGCAGCAGCCACGTTCGTGGCACCAGAAGCAGCAGACAACGGCAAAGATCCGAACCACAACAGCAGCTGCAGCAAATGTGGTAGCTGCAGCAGGAGTCCTCAAACAACAGCAGCAGCAGCAGCAGCAGCAGCCAAGGCAGCAGAAGAAGAGGATCACCATCAGCAGCAGCCAAGGCAGCAGCAGAGCAGCGACAAGGCGAGAGCAGCAGCAGTGGCGGTACCCACGGCGGGACGACCGCAGCAACAGCAACAGCAGCAGCAGAGGATGTTACAACAGCAGTAGCCTTTGCAGCAGCAGCAGCTGCAGCAGAAGCCGCTACAATCAGCAGCAGGGCCCATATAAGTGCCGCTGGCTGCTCATGTCCTGCAGCAGGTTGGTGCTGCAGCAGCAGCTGCAGCACCAGCCAGTGCTGCAGAGTTTCAGGGCCCAACAGAGTCGACAGCAGCAGCAGCAGCAGCAGGAGCAGCAGCAGCAGTTGCAGTAAATATGAAGCACAAGCAGCGCTGTGTCTGTGGGGCTGAGTGTCTAGGGATAGAAGGCTCCTTTCCTGCAGCAGCAGCTGCAGCAAGCGCACTCTGCAGCAGCAGCAGCAGCAACAACAGCAGCAGCAACAGCAGCAGCAGCAGCAGCAACAAGGGGGGCGATTGGCTGCTGCTGCCGAGAGGCCACCTTCGCCGTTTGCGCAGCAGCTGTGCTTATAAGTGTTATGAGGCAGCAGCGACAGCAGCGGAGCTGCTGCAGCAACAGCAGCAGCAGCAGCTGCTACCAGCAGGTGCAGCTGCAGCACCTTTGCTGCTGGAGGTATGCGCAGCAGCAGCAGAAGTTATTTTGCATTGCAATCGTCGGCGTGGATTACACCACAACAAGTAGGCTTTAGGGTTTAGGGTTTAGGGTTTAGGGTTTAGGGTTTAGAGTCCGGTTAGCCCCGTTGCTGTTGTTGTTGGTGTTGTTGCTGCTGCTACATGTGCTGCTGCAGCTGCTGCACCTGCTGTTGCTGTTGTTGTTTTTGTTGTTGTTGTTGCTGCTGCACCGGCTGCTGCTGTTGTTATCCTGTGCTGTTGTTCAGGGTAGCGGCGACGCAGCTGCTGATATCTGCTGCTGCTGCTGCTGTTCAAGGAGCAGGCCCTCTTGCTGCTAGGCCGTTGCTCCAGCTCCTTCCCTACTGTCTCTGCAACTCCACTGCAGCGCAGCAAAGGCAGCAGCAGCAGCGACAGCAGCAGCAGCAGAATCCTGCCTTCGCTGCAGCAGCAGGTTCAGGGAGTCAAAGAAGCAGCAGGAGGAATAGCAGCAGCAAAGTCTGCAGTTTGGAGCTAGAGCGCAGCGGCGACATTAGCAGCAGCAGCAGCAGCAACAGCAGCAGCAACAGCAGCACAAGACCAGGTTCTGCTTCCTCTGATGAGGAGGAGGAAGGCAGCTGCTGCCGCCGCTGTGTCCCCTTAACTTGCTCAGATTATTATCTGTTGGAGACAGCAGCAGACACACTTGCTGCTGCTTCTGGTGCTGCTACTTCTGCTGCTGAAGGTAAACAGAATCTGCTGCTGCTGCATGCAGACAAACCCCACAGATTCCCACACATTGTTTGCTGCTGCTGCTGCCGGATAGCGGAGCCAGGGCAGAGTTGACAATTCCAGCAGCAGCAGCACCACCAGCGCCAAGGGCAGCTCTCTCTGGAGGGGTGCATGCTGCTGCTGCTGCTGCTGCTGCCTAGCGAGCTGCTAGTCTTGTATAGCAGACACTCCTATATAATATGCGTTGTCTCCTCAGGATGTACGCCAGTCGATGTGGCTGAGGCAGCTGCTGCTGCCTCTGCTGCTGCTGCAGTAGAGGGGCCCCTGGGTTTGCTGCTGCTGCAGCGCATACCCCTAGAGCAGCAGCAAGAGCAGCAGCAGCAAGAGCAGCAGCAGAATGCCTTACAGGTGCGTTTCCCCTCCTTCGCTGTGTTGCACCCTCCTCTTTTGTAGCAACTGCTCGTTAGCAGCAGCAGCTGCAGCAGCAGGATACACGGTAATAGAAAGAGACACAGGCACGCCGTGCTGCTGTTGCTGTTGTTGCTGCTTAGGTGGAACTCCTCTCCCCCACCGCAGCCGTCAGAAGAAAAGAGGCAGCAGCAGCAGCAGCAGTCCGACTGTGGCAACCGGAGCAGCAGGAGCAGCAGCAGCAGGGAGAGCACCAGCAACATCAGCAGCACCGCAGCCTCTGGGAGGCCATGAGGTCACTTGTGCTTCCACTGGCCCGGCCTACCTGTGCTGCGAGTACAGCAGCAGCAGCAGCAGCAGCAAAAACTGCAGCAGAAGCTGCAGCTACAGCACACTTGGTGCAGCAGGAAGCAGCATTTATTCTCGCTGTAGCTGCTCTGCGCAATGGACAACAGGAGCTTCGGGTTAGCTATGTGCTGCTGCTGCAGTCTGTTGCTGCTGCAAGCCTTTGCTGCTGCTGCAGTCTACTGCTGCTGCAGGCTGCTGCTCCATATGTTGCTAAGACGTAATCGCTTGCAGCATGTTGCCTTGCTGCTGATGTTGCTGCTACAACTGCTGCTGCCGTTGCAGCTACAACTGCTGTTGCTGTTGCTTCTGTTGCTGCTGCATTCAGGATGGACTTTTGGCTCAAGATGTGCTGCTGCGGGGTGCGCTGCAAGACATCGCCACTCTGCGGCGGCGACGGCAGCAGCAGCAGCAGCACGGGAGGGAAGAAAAGCAAGGGCATGCATTAGACATGCAGCTGCGCGTTGTGCTGGCAGCCCTGCAGCTCCTCACTGCAGCAGCAGCAGCAGAAACCGCACTGACAGCAGCACCGGATAGAAGCGCCTTCGGTGAAGGCGGGTGGGCCGCTGTAGGCATCCATGAATTGCTGCTGCCGCTGCTGCACCACCACCACACGCAGCAGCATGAACGGCAGCCGGAGGTGCCAGAGCAACAGCAGCAGCAGCAACAGCATCAACAACTGCAGCAGCCAGCGCACCGGCAGGAAAGTCAGCCGGAGACGCCAGAGCAGCAGCAGCAACGGCAACAGCAGCAGCAACAGCAGCAGCAACAGCAGCGGGAAGCATCTGCAGCAAGAGAAGCCGCTTTATGGGCTGGCTGTTTTATTCTGTCATTGGACTCTTTGCCTCTCCCTCTTGCTGCTGCCCTCCAGCACGGCGTGCTGCACGAACTGCAGCACCGCCTGCACCACCACCATCACCACCACCACCAGCACCAGCACCAGCACCAGCAGCAGCACCAGCAGCACCACCACCACCACCACCAGCATCAGCACCAACATCAGCAATACCAACAACACCAGCAACACCACCGAGCTGTGAAGACAGCAAGCTCTCCTTGCATTCGCTGCGGCAACAGTAGCAGCAGCAGCAGCAGCAACCCTTTTTGCACATCAGGTGCCGGACTAACGCTGCACTGCGTGTTGCTTCTGCTGCAGCAACCCGACGAACAGCTGCAGCAGAAAGCTGAGCGGCTGCTGCCTGTTAGCCTAGGCTACTTGCTGCATAATGAACCGCTGCTGCTGCTGCGGGGGATGCCGCTGCAGCAGGTGCTGCTGCAGACTCTGCAAGGAAGACATGCCCAGCACTTGGTGCTGCAGCAGCTGCTGCGTCTCCTTCCTCAGTGCAACGCAGCTGCTGCAGCAGCAACACTGGTAGACATAATTGCAGCTGCAGCCCACGCCAGCTTGTGCAGCACGGGGCTGCAGCAGCACAGCAGTGAGGAGGAGGCAATATGTTTAGTTGTTGATGTGCTGCGGGAGTTGCTGCAGCAGCGGGCTCCTCTGGTAAGGCGTGCTGCTGCTCGATCTGTAAGTCTGCTGCTTAATGCATGCACTGCTTCTACTGCTGCTTCTGATGGGCGCATTTTGAAGGAGTTACTGCAGTGCGCAGGAGCTGCTGCACTTGCTGCTGCAGCAGACAGGTGCGGTTATGTAAGACTTGCAGCAGCAGAAACTGCAGCAGCAGCAGCAGCAGCAATGGCGCAACGGCCTCATGCTGCAGCAGCAGAAACTGCAGCAGCGGAGGATATTTGCAGCACTGCTGAGTCTCTTCTTGCTGAAGGAGAACCGCTGCTGCAGCGGCTTGCTGCAGCAGCATTAGCCAGGTAAGATCTAGCTGCTGTTGAGGGTTTAGGGTTTAGGGTTTAGGGTTTAGGTGCGGAGCTAAGTGACGATTCATGCCTTAGCCTAGGGTTTAGGGTTTATGGATTAAGGTGATGTTTTGCTGCTGTTGTGGTTGCTGCTGCTGTTGCTGCTGCAGGTTGCCTGAGTGTTTCGGGCTGTCTGCTGCTCCCAGGTATTTGTGCAGCAGCACACAGATGGCTGTTGCTCTGCTGCAATCTGCTGCATGCCCTCTTGCTGCAGCGCAGCACGTGCTGCAGTTGCGTCTACTGCTGGCAGGAGCAAAGATCGGGCCGTGGGAAGCAGCAGCAACACACGCAGCGTACTGCAGCTGCATGAAGATAACACGACTGCTGAGCGACGTACCTAGCTGCTGCACCAACACCGTAGCAGCAGCAGCCGCTGACAGTCCCGCTGCTGCAGAGAGTGCATGCTCACTGGCAACAAATGCAGCAGCAGCAGCAGCAGCTGACTCCACAAAGGAAACCAGTGGTGCGAATTCAACAGCGCCTACTGGCGAAGCTACAGGCAGCAGCGGCTGCTGCTGCTGCAGCCTATGCGCTCTGCCACAGGAGCAGCAGCTGCTGCAGCAGCTGCAGCAAAGGAAGCACCAGAGGCGGGGGCTACATATGCTGCAGCAACGGTGGCGTATCTGTGGCAGTGTTGCAGTTCTATGGGGAGCGCTGGCAAATATATGCATGTTTAAGCAGCAGCGGCAACAGCAGCAACAGCAGGAGCTGCAGCACCGACGGCAGCAACTGTACCAGCAGCAGCAGTGGCAACAGCAGCAGCAGGTGGGCGCCGTGCTGCTCAACGTTTTGCAGCCTGCATCTGTTGTCATAGTAGAAAGTGACGCACGAATCAGAGCAGCAGCAGCTGCTGCTGTTCTCCAGTTGTTCCGCTGCTGGAGAGACACCGCAGCAGCAGCAGAAGCTGGTGCTGCAGCTGCAGCTGATGCCGAATCACTGGAGGCATACCTAGGTGCATTAGTACATGGGGCTACACCGCCGCCAGCAGCAGCAGCAGCGCAGCAGCAGCTGCTTCTGCTGAAGCGAGGCATATCCGAATCTTCTCCATTTCCTATCATCCCTCCTGCAGGTGAGCAGCAACAGGCACAGCAGCAGGAACAGTAGCAGGAACAGCAGCAGCATAACGCAATGGGGTACCTGCAACAGCAGTAGCAGCAAGAATAGCAGCAGCAATAGCTGCAGCAATAGCAGCAGCTGCAGCATTTGTGTGTTGTGGGGTGCAGCACTACCAGATGAGCTAGGCTACCTGTGCCAGCTAGCAGCGCAACTCAAGGAATCTGTAGAATGTAAGCCTGCAAGCTGCTGCTGCTGCTGCTGCTGCTGTGGTAGTGGACCTACTGTTCTAGCTGCTTCTGGTGACTGTAGTGCTGCTGCTGCGCTCGCTGCCCCTTCTTGTGTTGCTGTGGCTGTTGCTGCTGCCTGTGATGCTGGTTCGGCTAATGCTGGTCATACAGCTGCTGCTGTTCCAATCTTTGGCCAGTTTTGCTGCTGCAGCTGTTGCTGCTGTTCTAGCTTGCCATTTTGCTGCAATTGCTGAGCTGCTTGCTTGACGAGTGGAGCTGTATTTGCTGCTGCTGTTTGCATGCACTTCTCTGTCTGCTGCTGCAGCGGAGTGGCTGCCGGCGAGCTGTGCGGAAATTGCTGCTAGGAGCTGGGCCAGATGCAGCAGCAGCAGCAACAGCAGCAGCAGCAGCAGCAACGGCAGCAGCAACAACAGCGACAGCAGCAGCAGTAGATGCCGTGTGAGAAGCTTGTCTGCTACAGTTGAGTCCGCTACAGCATGGCTGCGGTGTCTCTGCTGCCTACATCAGCAGCGCTGCTGCTTGCTGCTGTTGCCTGCTTCCTTTGGGCCCATAGCTTCTCTCTTGGAGGAGTTGCGTCACCAGAAGGATACCCCTCTGTATGTACAACGCATGCAGATGCTGCAGGTGCTGGACGTGCTGCTATGGGAGGTGCAGTACGAGCAGCAGCAGGTGCAGCACGGGGGAGCAGCGCGCCTTTGTGATGTAATACTGCTGCTGCTTGACTCTGCAACGGCAGAGATGAGCAAGTCTCTGCAGCAGCAGCAGCAACAGCACAAGCAGCAGCAACATCAGACTCAGCAAGTCTTGCCATCCCTCACTGTGCAACAACCACAGCAGCAGCAGCAATCCCCAGAGGTGCCACAGGACTATCCACTGTGCTGCGCCACGCTGCCGCCGCAGCAGTCGCATATTCAGCGTCAGCAACAGCAGCAGCAACAGCAGCAACATCAACGACACCCTGGAGGACATGGTGCCGAAGATAAGCCCTTCGAGCAGCCTAAGATGCGGCGGCAGAAGCAGCAGCTGCTGCAACTCCTGCCGGATAGACACATGAGCCTCAGCAGCAGCAGCAGCAGCAGCAGCAGTGGGAGCGGGAAGCTCTCAAGATCCAGCCGCATGGCAGATCTTTCAGGAGCTGCTGGTTCTGCTGCAGCTGCTGGTTCTGCTGCAGCAGCTGCTGGCTTGCCGCCAGTATGTACAGCTAAACGGGACACTGAGAGAGCCTTCCAAGCCCGGCCTGCTGCTGCTGCAGCAGGTGCAGCAGCAGCAGCAGCAGTTCTTGCTTGTTATACAGGCGGCGTTGACTTGGGCTGCCGAGAGGGGAATCAAGAATGCATGGTGTTGCTGCCAACTACACCGCAGCAGGAAGCCTTCTTGCTGCTGGACCTGCTGCTGAAGCTGCAGTTGCATGCAGACTCTAACGCCTTACTACCTCGCCTAACCCGCTTGCTGCTGCTGCATAAAAAAGCTCACGAGATTGTAAACAGTCTTGATCCCTGCAGCAGCAGCAGCACAGGTGACTGTAGCAGCAGCTGCTGCTGCTTTACCTGCACCAGCAAAGCTATGCTTACTGGCTATTGTTCTGTGTGTGAGCATTCAATATCTCTTATACGCAGCTGCTGCAGTCAGCGCGTGTGGAGCGGCATGCTTCCTCTGCTGCTGGTGCTGCTGCACTGCACCCCCGTTGCCAGCAGCAACAGCAGCAACGTCAGCAACAACTGGTGCACCGGCGTTCTGGGGTTGGTGCGGGCAATATCTGTTGTTGCAGGAGGGTGTGGTCCGGGGCCAGCAAAGCAGCGAGCTGCTGCGGCTGTGGCAGTTGCATGCGCAGCAGCGCATCACCAGCAGCAACAGCAGCAGCAGCAACAGCAGCAGCAGCAACAAAGCTCTTGGAGGCACGGCCGCAGGACGGAGCAGCAGGTGCAGGAGGCAGCAATCCTGCAGTCGGCTTCCAGTGCCCTCAGCAGCGCGCAGCAGGCACTGCAGCACCAACTGCAGCAGCACCAGCAGCATCACCTGCACCAACACCAGCAGCAGTCGGAGTTCGGCGGCCGCCGCACAGGGGGACTGCACTGCAGCAGGGTAGGCAGTGGCAACGGGGGAGTTCGTCGCTCTCTAGGAGATGTTTTCTCTTCCTTTGCCAATTCCTGTGAGTTGCTGCTGTTGCTGCTGTTGCTGCATGACAAGCAGCATCAATAACAGTAGTAGCAGAAGTAGCAGCAACAACAGCAACAACAGCAACAGCACCAACTGGAGCAGCAGCTAACTTAATGTGTCTTTCTGCTGTGTGTGTCTGGATCTTGTTGCTACAGCGAGCACAGGTACAGTGGCATCTAGTGGGGCTCCAACAGGTGCAACAGCAACAGCAGCACCAGCAGCAGCAGCACCACCAGCAGCAGCAACAACAACAACACCAGCAGCAGCAGCAGTAGCAGCATGGCGACATTCACATAGGAGGCAGTTGCGGTCTGCCCCTGCGTCATTAAGAGAGACGAGGGGATTGCGTCTAAAGCTATGGGATGCAGCACAAGGGTAGGCCCTTGCTGCTGCTGTTGTTGTTGCTGCTGCTGTTGCTTGTGCTGCTGCTTGTGCTGCTGCTTCGCAAGTGCTTGATGCCGGTGTACTTGCTGCAAGTTTTCGTTGCTGCTTCTGCTGGTGTTGCTGCTGCTGCTCGATGTTGGGCTGGTGTTGAGTCTCCCTTGAGCCCATGCTCCCCGGGCTGTATATGCAGTATTTCTTCGTTGCTGCTGCTGTGCTGCTGCTGTTGCAGCGGCCGCGTAGACTGTTGGGAGGATTGGTGGCAGCGGCTGCACGGGCTGTACGTACACCGCAGCAACTTGGCGTGTATTGCTGCTGTCGCGCCTTTGGCAAAGGCTGATTCTGATGATGCAGCAGGAGCAGCTGCTGCTCCTAGTGGAGGCACCGCAGCGGAGGAGAAGGGAGCAGCAGCAGCAGCTGCTGCTGTAGTTGCAGACAAGTTGTTTGCTGTTGCTCTCTGCGAGGACTGTTTTGCCTTAAGGGCGGAGCAGAATTTAGAGGCCGTCGCAGCTATAAAGTGAGTGGGAGCAGCAGCAGCAGCAGAACCAGCAGCAATAGCAGCAGCACCAGCAGCAATAGCAGTAGCAATGGCAGTAGCAATGGCAGGAGCAACGAGAATCGAGGCAGCAGCAGCAGCGGGGCCGCGATTGTGCTGTAACGGCATATCTGTGCTTCCGGTGCTGCTGCTGTTGTTGTTGCTGCTGCTGCAGCAACGGGTTTGCGCGTTGCCTGCAGGAATCCCCCGTGTCTGTATGCCGTCGCGCGGTGTCTCTTGGGGTGTACATGCAGCAGCGGCAGCAAATGCAACATCAGATGCCGCTGCAGGTGTCTCTCTGTTTACTAGGGAGGGCAGCAGAAAGATGCAGAGATAATCCTCTATCTATATGGCTATTTGAATCACTCTGGATGCATGAACCATGTAGGCTGCTGCTGCTGCTGCTGCTGCTGCTGCTGCTGCATTGCGGGGTGCTGCTGCTCTAGTTGTTGCTTCGCTTGTTGCAACTGCTGCTAATGTGTTGTTATTGCTGCTGTTGTTGTTGTTGCTGTTGGTGTGCCGCAGCACGTACAGCAGCTATGCTGCTGCTGTTGGCTCTTCTTCGAGCAGGGCAGCATGCGTCTGCTGCTGCGCTGCTGCAGCAGGCTAAACATGTGCTGCTAGAGCAGCAGTTCAGGCAGCTAGAGAGACTAGCTAAGGAAGTGATGTTTGCTGTTGTGGTAGATTCTAGTCAGCCGCCCGCAAGCAGCAGTAGCTATGCTGCAGCAGCAGCCACAGCAACAGAAGCAGCAGTGGCAGCACAAGGCGCTGCAGCTGCTGCTCCTCCTCCTGCAACACCAGCAGCAGTAGCAGAGGCGCATGCGCAGATCGCGCAGTCAATGTGGCGATGCTTTGCATTCTATGACTCCTTCCACCCCATGAGGAAAGCAGCAGGAGCAGCTACTGCTGCTGCTGCTGCTCCTGCTCTCCGCAGGACACTGCAGCAGATGCAGCTGCTGCCACCCAGCGCTGCTACCCAGGGTCCAACAACGGCAGCAGACACACTTGACGAAACAGCAGCAACAGCAGCAGCAGCAGCAACAGCAGCAAGCCCTCACCATTTGAAGCCCACCACCGGCAGCGGCATGTCGGGGCACGCGAGCCTGCAGTGAGAATTCTGTTGTCGCTGCTGCTGCTGTTGTTGCTTCCGCTGCTGCTACTGCTGCTGCTGCTTGCCGTTATCTGAGTGTCTTCTGCTGCGCTCTTTTACAGTAAGTGCTGCTGCTGCTAGTGCTGCGGCTGCTGCAGAGCTCTGTACTGGATGGGGTTGTGGAGCGACGCGCTGGGCGTAGCAGCGCAGCAGCAGCAACAGCATCATGAAGCAGCAGCAACATCGGAGGCCTTGACAGCAGCAGCAGCTGCTGCTGCATTTAACTGTAGAGACTATGAAGCACTGCAGCTCTACAGCAAACAGCTAGGGGAGGTACGCATCTGCAGCAGCAGGAGAGCAGAAGTTCAGGACCTGCAGCAGCAACGGCAGCAGCAGCAGCAGGAAAGGCTCTCTGTTGACGATGTTGCTGTTGTGTCTCTTTCTGGTGTATGTACAGCCCTACGCAAGATACTTCTACACTGCAGCTGGGTCTTCTTGCTGCCACACCACTGCAACAACAGCAGCAGGAGCAACTGCAGCACAGGCTGCAGTTGATACTGCAGCAACTGCAGCAGCTGCTGTTTGCCATGGGGCATGCAGCAGCAGCAACGGAATGCTGCAAGCACTTCAGCAGCTGCAGGTTGAGGCGTTACGTGCCTCGGCAGCAGCAGATTTTACTGCTGGGCGAGGTGCAGCAGCAGCAGGAGCAGCAGCAGAAGCAGGAAGCAGCAACAGCACCGGTTGCTTCACTGCTGCTCTTCACAAGCTGCCGCACGGAGCATTACTGCTTCCCGGAGCTCTGCGCAAGGTCGCAGCGGTACGACTGAGGGTTTAGGGTTTAGGGTTTAGGGTTAGATGCTTAAAGTTTTGGCTGTAGGGGAAGCGTATCCAGAAAGAAGATAGAGGGTTTGTGGCTTTGCGCTTTAAGGTGTAGAGTTTAGGGTTTAGGGTTTAGGGTTTAGGGTTTGTGTGTGTCCGCAGGCGGGAAGTTTGCAGATGCCGTCTACAGAAGTGTATCCTCTGCTGCGTTGCACGGCAGCAGCAGCGAGCTGCAGCAGCACAGAAGCCTACAGTGGATCGCTGCTGCAGTTGTTACTACCTCTGCTGCACTACCAGCAGAAGCAGAGGCAGCAGCAGCAGCAGCAGTGGGACCCCTGGTGTCTGCTGCTGACAGCACGGGAGCTTCACCGGCTGGGGCAGCAGCAGGAGGCCCTGCAGCTGCTGTCGCTTGCAACAGATTCCTCGTGCAGCACCAGCAGCACCAGCAGCAGCAGCGGCAGCAGCGCCAACCTTGGAAGGCTACAGCTTCCATCGGTGCCGCGTCCCCTGCAGCAGCTGATGCAGCTGCCGGCGCATGCGCCGCAGCAACAGGAGCTGCTTCTGCTGCTCCGTGCATGCAGAGCGACTGTGCCTGCTTCTGCTGCAGCAGGTCTAACAACAGCAGCAGCAGACACAGTCACCGCAACAGCAGCAGCAGCAAACCGCCTAGCGCCTCAACAAGAAGAAGTGTTGCAGGCTGCTGCTGCTGCTGCACTGCAGTGTTGCTGCCGCCTTACTCTGGGTAAGCTGTTGTGGGGTTGAGGGTTTAGGGTTTAGGGCACCAAAACTAGGGTTTAGGGTTTATGTTCAACTGCTGCAGCAGTGGCAGCTGTGCTGTAAGAGATTGTCTGGAAACATTTGCTGCTGCTGTTGTTTGCTGCTGCTGTGTTTGCTGCTGCTGCAGCCAAGTGGACCGACGAAGTGCAGGAGCTGCCTTTGCATGCCACCACTGGATACAGCAGGAGCAGCAGCAGCAGTCTGTCTCCTGCTGCTACAAACTCGCTCCTGCGATTTGCTGCAGCAGCAGAAGCTGCACCTGCTGCGGTTCGCGCTGCAGCATCAGCAGACTGCCCGGCTGCTGCTGCTGCAGCTGCGGCTTGCTGCTACAACTGGGGTATCTCCATCTTGCGTGCGGTGGCTCCAATGCAGCCACGGGCGTCGCGGCAGAAGCAACAGCGGCAGCAACAGCAGCAGCACGAGACAGTGGTAGAGACAGCAGCAGCAGCAACAGCAATGCATGCAGAGGATTCCTCGCAGGCGCCACTTCTTCTAGAAGAAATGCCGCAGCTTCCTGCTGCCTTGCGGCAGTGGCAGCAGCAGCAACAACAACAGCAGCAGCAACCATCAGGCAGCAAGGGTCAAGGACTGCATCTTTCTGCTGGTGTGCAGCAGCAGCTGGTGCTAGAGGCCCTCAAGTCGTTGCTGCGTGCTGCTCGTCTAACTGCAACAACAGCAGCAGCAGATACGGCAGCAGGCATAGAGTTTGCATTGGCGCTGCTGCATGCAATTGGATTGGTAGGCCTGAGCGAGGCATTGCTGCTGCTACTGCTACTGCTGCTGCTGCTGCTGCTGCTTATGCTGCTCACTCAACCCGAGCATATCTTCAAACATTATCAGAACGCTGGGCTCGCCCGCCCTTGTGCTACTGCTGCTACTGCTGCTGTTGTTGCTGCTGCTGCTGCAGGCAGGCTCTGAAGACCCCAGAGTAGAGCAGCTCGTGTCCGCGGAGATGCCGTCTTTGCTGCGGCTCCAGCAGCCTCTTCTGCACCAGCTGCTAGCAAAGACAGCAGCAGCAGAGACAAAGCATCAGGAGCGGCTGTACACCCAAATTCTAATTCAGTTCGGTAGGCTGCTGCTGCTGCTGCTGCACCCGGTTAGGCTTGCATGCACGAGTGACTGCATGCATACATGAGGGAAGCTGCAGGGGGTGCCTCTTGTAGGGAGCATATTTGCGATTTTTTTCTTGCTGCTGCTGCTGTTGTTGTTTCTGCTGCTGCTGCTGCAGCTCTGTCGGAGCCCCAGGCGGCAGTGCTGCCGCTGGTGACGAGTATGGAATGTACAGGCAGTCCTAGTCTGGTGCGTGCAGCAACAGCAGCAGCAGCCGCTGCAGCAGCATCTCATGGATCCCTGCTGCAGGAGGCGCGTTGCCTGCAGCAGCAGCTAATGCAGGTGTCTGTACACCTGGGGGAGAGATGGTTTGCTGCTCTTGATACAGCAAGCCACCTTGCTTTTGATAAGAAGCAGCATGCTGCTGCAGTCCGTTTGCTGCTGCCCCTGCATGAAGACACGCTAAAGGGACCAAAGGTGCGGTTTCCGCTGCTGCTGCTGCTGTTGCTTTTGTTGCATCTGTTGCTGCTGCTTGTACTGTATTCATACGAGTTGAGTCGCCTGAGCACCTGCTGCACGCCCAATGTGCTGCTACTGCTGCTGCGTGCTGCTTGCTGCTGCAGTGTGCGGCAGATGCTGCCTTCTTGCAGCAGCACGGAGCTGCACTGCAGCAGGCGTACATGGGTTTGCAGTCCTTCATTTCGCAAGGTGAGCGGCCTGTGCCCGCAGCAGCAGCAGCAGCTGCTGCTGCAAAGCACCAGCAGCAGCAGCAGGAAAGCAGCCGCAGCCATAGTGGCTGCAGCAGCTACCCCCTTCTTAAGACATCGCAGAAGCATATCCCTTTTTCTCTCTCTGCTTCCCACAACAGCAACAGCAGCAACAGCAGCAGCAGGATTTATACAGGCATGAATGCATGCATGCATATGTGTGCAGGGTGTGGCGAGGAAGCAGCGCATGCATTGCATTGGAGTTGGGGCTGCTACTTTCGCGTCTTTTCTTCGTTGCTGCTGCAACAAAGAATAGAGGGCCGCACTGGCCATCTTCATGACAGTGCGCCGCAGCTGCAGCAACTCACGCTGCAGCACTTAGACGTACCTGGTGAGCTGCTGCTGCTTCTGCTGCTGCTGCTGCAGCACGACGCCACCTCACACTGCACCTCATTAGCAGCAGCAGCAGTAGCAGCAGTAAGATGGAGTTGCTGGGCAGATGATGGAAGATTGTGTCAGTGCGTCTGCCACGGCGAATGCCATTCTCCCTTTGCTACTGCTACTGCTGCAACTGCTGCTGCTGCTGCTGCTGTTGTTGCTGCTGCAGGACAACCAGGAGTGCGTATACACCGTGTGCTGCCTCGTGTGTTGGTGTTACCAACTAAGGAGAGGCCTCGCGTTATAACAATGGAAGGAAGGAATGGCTGCTGCTATCGATTCCTCCTTAAGGCACAAATAGATCTAAGACTGCAGCAACGAATTCTATTGGTATATATACACCTGTTGCTGCTGCTGCTGCTGATTCTGCTGCTGCTCGTGCTGCAGGTGCTGCCGATGCTGATGGTGGTGCTGATGCTGCTGTTTTTATTGCTAGTGATCATGCTGGTGCAGTTTCTGCTGCTGCTGCACTGAAGCCTTTTGCTGCTGAGCTGTTGGATGTGCTGCTGCAGGTCTTCAAGTACATATCGCGTCTGCTGCAGCAGCAGACGCTACAATTGCCCTGCTGCTGCCCTGCAGCAGCATCAGGTCCACAGGAGCTGCAGCAGGCGTCGCTAGGGGGCTTACTGAGTAACACCAGCTGTAGCAGCAGCAGCAGGCGAAGCACCACGACGGGGTGCTGCAACAACAACAGCAGCAGCAGCAGCAGAGTTCGTTTTAAAAGCTGCTGCTGCAGCATCCCGCTTGCATTGTATGAAGTAATTCCTCTTTCCCCTTCCTTAGGGTTGGTTCAATGGTTGCATGCAGCCCCAACATTAAAGGATTTACTAGGGAAATATCGCCGCATGCAACGTGTCCCCTTAAATTTAGAGTTGTCCCTCTTCACGGCAGAGAAGCAGCAGCAGCTGCATATGCTGCAGCAGCAGCACCAGCAACAGCAGCAACAGCAGCAGCACTTGCACGGCGGCCATAGCAGCAGCAGCAATGCAAGCGCTGCTCAACGTGCTGCAGCAAGTGCTGCTAAAGATGCACCAGAAGTGGTAGGCTCAGCTGCAGATGTTCTCTTCTCACGCACCAGCAGCACCCTATGCAGCAGCAGCGGCAGCAGCAGCCTATGCAGCAGCAGCAGCTAGAGCAGCAGCAGCAGAAGCAGCAGTGCATGCATGTTGTTATGTGTTTGTTTGCTGCAGCTAGAAGCAGCTTTTAGGGCTTTTTTAGAGAGGACGACGGGCGACGATTTGCGGCAGCTGCTTTGGCTGCGCTGCAGCAGCAGCAGCAGCAGCAGCTGGTTGCAGCAGCGGCGTTGTATTGCAGCAGCACATGCAGCAATGGCTGCTTGTGGCTATCTGTGTGGAATAGGGGACAGACACCCCGGCAATCTGCTGCTGTGCTGTTGCTGCAGCAGCAGCAGCTGCAGCGGCTGCTCTATTGCTCATATTGACTTCAGCGATGTCTTCGAAGCTGCTGCATGCAGAACAACACAACCAGAAACCGTCCCATTCAGGTCCAGCTGCTGCTTATGCTGCTGCTGCTGCTGCTGCTGCTGCTGTTTGTTCTCTGGTGCTGCTGCTGCTGTTGTTGTTTTCAAGGCTGTATCTAGCCTCTCCTGCAGTGCCTCTGTTGTCTCCTGTTTCTTATGCTTTGTGTCTGCATGCATGCATGCATGCACGCCTGCATGCATGTGTATGACCGAACGTGTGGTTTCTTTGGGGCTGTATCCGCATGCATGCATACATGTATGCACGCATGCATATGTTTGTATATGTATTGTTGTGCTGTTATCTGCATGCAGACAGACACGAATGTTATCTCGTGCTATGGATGTTGGGGCATCAGGAGGGATTTTTTTATCTTCTCTTTGTTTTTCCCTCAATACATTTAGAGATAATAAATTTTATCTCTATTTGCTGCTTGCTGCATGCATTTTAGACCCTTCCCTACCCTTAAAAGTACTTAGACAATCTGCAGCAGATAACAACATTTACCCACAGGGGGGCCCCACTGCCAGGGGCCCCCCATCTCCCTCAGCAAAGAGGTCACAGAGGTCACCCACTCGTAGGCAACCCACCAATGGGGGCCCCCATGGAGGGATTCATAAGCACCCTTCTGGTTATGGGGAAGGCCACCCAGGGGTTGGGGGACACCAAGGTGAGGGGCTCCCAGTGCGGGGGCCCCCAGGAGAGGGGGCCCAACAGGGTACAGAAGGTGTTGCATTGAGGTGGCCGCGGACAAGAGAAGATGTCCTTGAAAGAGTTTGTAACAAACTCACTGGACACGACTTCGGGTAAGAATGCATGCATGCATGCATGCATGCATGCATGCATGCATGCATGCATGCAACGTGTTGTGGGGATGCATGCATGCATCGGAAGTGCAGAATGCAACGTTGCATACATCCCCAGTCATGCTCATTCCTGTATGTGTTGTGTCTGTGTGTTGCTGTTGCTGCTGCTGTTGTTGCTGTTACTGCTGCTGCAGCCCCACCCCTCTTGACGTCGAAGCACAAGCCAACAGGTTAATTGAAGAAGCCACCAGTACCCGCAACCTTGCAAGAATGTACCCTGGTTGGTGCCCTTTCTGGTAAAGGCTAATAATTGCCATAAGGGGGCCCCTTAGGGCCCCTTAAGGCGGTGGGGGGGGCCCCCTTACTTCTACGGGGGGGGCCCACGCCTTATACCCTGGCCCCCGTAAGGGCCCTCGTAGGGGCCCCCTGAAGACCCAAAGGTGTTTATAGAGGCAGCAGAACGGGCCTGTGCAGCCGCAAATGCTGCTCTTGGCGTATCCATGTGTTGTCTTTGTCTGCAGCTAGCTACAGCTAGCTGTAGCTAGGTACGGCTAGCTGCAGTTGTTAGCCACGGCTAGCAGCAGCAGCTAGATACAGCTAGATACAACTACCTACAGCTACATACAGAGGTACACTCCCTACAGTTAGATACAGCTAGCCACAGTTGGGTGCAGCTAGCTGCACCTAGCTGCAGCTAGCCACAGCTAGAGGCCTACTAGCTGCAGTTAGCTACAGCGGCCTATTAGTAAACTAATACATATACAAGTATACATAATATTAGTGTGTATATATATGTACATGCATATATATTCATTGGTGTACATTATTATATGTATATGTTATATTGTTGCTGCTTGCTAACATACATGAGCATGGAGCACTGTAGGGTTTAGGGTTTAGGGTTTAGGGTTTAGGGTTTTTTCTTGTGGGTCTTTAAGACTCATTGAGGGTTTTGTATTTTTATTTTTGTTTTTTTTTTTTTTTAATTTATATTTTAAATATTTTTAATATAATAAAATAATAAATAAATAATAAAATTAATTTGTTGGTAGGATCTGTCCTACCTGCATATAGCAGCAGTGGGGCTGTCCTGTGGGGCTCCATCGTCTGTGCATGCATGCAGCAGCAGCAGCAACAATTAATGCTGCAGCAGCTTCTTTTTTTTATCCTTTAAACTACTTGACGCTGGTTAGCTGCCAGCGTAAACTGGTATTTTTGCCGTTAACTGCAGCAGCAGCTGCTGCTGCTGCTGTTGTTCCTGCTGCTGCATGCGCAGCGCATACAAACGTCAGCCTTTGTGGCTCTGTAGATATTTTTTTCTTTATTTATAATAATTAAAAACAAATTAATTTTTAATTTTGTTATATTTATATCCTTAATTACGTTGGAAGACTCACGAATACCTCCTAGCAGCAGCAGCAGCAACACCAGCAGCAGCAGGACTTGCTGTTGACAGCAGCAGCTGCATCCGTATTGTGGCCGTCTGTATTGTTGTACAGTTGTATCACTAGCAGCAGCAAGAGCAGCAACAACAAAAGCAGCAGCAGCAGCAGCAGCAGCAGCAGCAGCAGATTGTTCATCAGCATCACCATCAAACAGCAGCAACACCACCACCAACAGCAACAGCAACAGCAACAGTAACAGCAACAGCAGCAACAGCAGCAACAGCAGCAGCAGCAAAATGGCTAAGGGCTTGCGTAGTAAGACAAAGAGAGCCTTTAGGGCTGTAAAAAGGCAACATGTATCTAATACTATTGAGGTAGATCGCATGCATGCACTGCAGCAGCGGCTGCAGATGCTGCAGCAAGGAGAGGATCCTATGATACTACACAGAAGACCTCTTAATAAATTCCTTCATCCAGGTATGTAATTTATATACACAGTACAATTATGCATGCAACAATAACAATAGCAGCAGCAGCAGCAGCAGCAACAGCAGCAGCAACAGCAGCAGCAGCAACAATAACGGTAGCAGCAGTAGTATAGGATACATAGCCAATATATATATAGTATATAATAATAAAATATAAATCCCCCTAAATAAATAAAAATAAATAAAATAAATAAAATAAATAATATATTAATTAATTAATTAATTAATTTATTTATTTATTTATTTATTTATTTATTTTTTTTTGTATATATAGAGGCAATAGATGCTGAATTCCCTAGACATGAATCAAGAAATATACCAATAGATTTTAGGTCTTCTTTTCTTTCTTATAGTGGCTTAGTAGGTAGAGGACAAAGAAAAAAATATAATAAACAAGAACAAGAAGAATTAATACATTTATATGGATGTATACCTGGTAACACTGCAGCAACTGCAGCAACAGCAGCAGCAACAGCAGCAACAGCAGCAACAGCAACAGCAACAGCAACAGCAGCAGCAACAGGGAATACATCCATGCAAACAGATGGAGAAATATTATTAGATTATTCTAATAGTAGCAATCCTTCTGCTGCTGCTGCAGGAGCAGCAGCAGCAGGAGCAGCAGCAGGAGCAGCAGCAGCAGCAGGAGCAGCAGCAGGAGCAGCAGCAGGAGAAGGAAGCATGGATACAGACACAAAAGAGTATAGTTTACCTCTTAGGAGTATTCCTGTCGTAAAAAATTCATTAAAACAAATTCGCAGCAAAAGATCTATAAAAAGATATAAACATAAACAAAAGTAATTATATATATATGCATGCATGCATGCATGCATGCATGCAGCAGCAGCAGCAGCAGTAGCAGCAGCAGTTGCTGCTCCTGATACAGCAGATAGCTGTTACTGCTGCAGTTAGCCTGTCCTGCTGCAGCTTCGGGCGGGGAGCAGATGCTGCAGCATCAGCAGCAACAGCAACATCAGCAGCAACAGCAGCAGCAGCAACGTCAGCAGCAGCAGCAGCAAATGCATTGCTGCCTTATCTATTGCTGATTTTGTTTATTGGGGCTGCACCCAACAAATGCACAACACCTCCGTATAAACGCATGCAGCAGCAAATGCATGCAGCAGCAGCAAAGAGCATGCAGAAGCACGTGCATGCAGCAACACACATTATTGCATGCAGCAGCAAATGCATGCATGCTGCAGCAGCACATAAGTGCATGCAGCAGCATACAAATGCATGCAAACTTTTGTTGCATGCAACAACAAACTTCTTTGTCTGTTTTATCCTCTATATTATATATAAATATATTAAGGGCAATAGTTGCTGCTGTTGCTGCAGCAGCAGCAACAGCTGCTGCTGCTGCAGCTGCTGCAGCAGAGACGGAGAAAACAACAGACACAAGGAAATAGACAGATAGAGAGAAAGAGAGACAGAGGGAGAAAGGAGACAAATGCATGCATACAATAGCAGTCCTTGCAAACCCTAAACCCTAAACCCTAAACCCTCAAAGGTCAAAGGGTTAGCAGCAAACCCTACACCCTTAACCCTAAACATCCATCTCTAAACCCTAAACCCTAAACCCTAAACCCTAGAAATTTAATTGACGAATTAAAATGTTCCCTTTAAGGGTTTGTAGTTAGGCAAAAAAAAAAGAATAACGGTAAACCCTATGTATATATATATATATATATATATATATATA